GCTTACAATGATGCCCTAAGGATATTATTGAAAAAGCCTAGATGGACGAGTGCTAGTGAATTGTTCGTGTCATCTCGAATTAGTACATTTTCTGCTGTTTTAGGAAACCTGATGTTTAAATTTATTTGTCGCTTGAATTGCTCAAAAAAATCATATTATTTTATCATTGACTAATGATGCACACAGTGACATGCGTTTTACTTCGGTTCTCTGGAAACACTGGTATACCTGTCTTTTAAAGGGGCAGTAGTTTCATGGGTGTTCTTGTGCTCTCGTTTTTATGTATTTTCTGTTTTTATTGTTTCGTTTTTAAACTGTTCTTTTATTGCTTTTATGTGTTTTTGAACTTGGACCTTGAGTCTGTAATAAAGTGTCATCATCATCATCATCATCATCTGCAAACATCATTGTCCATGGAGATTCCTGTCTGACCTCATCTGTCAACCTGTCCATCACCATAGCAAACAAGAAGGGACTCAATAACACGAGTGAGAACAAAAATATGCCGCTGCACAAAAAACACTTGAGACTCCTCTTCATAAAAACAGAAAACTAAGCTCAGTCAAAAATACAAAAATAAGGTAGCAGAGGCAGAGACAGATGGGGTTAACAAACCAAGCCAAAAGACTAATCGTGAGTCAGAAACCAGGTAGGCACAGGCAACTTAAAATACAGGCAGGGAATAGACAGGCAGAGTTTCAGGTAGGCAGAAAACAGGTCCAGTATCACAGGTTCCAGAAGATAACCAAAGACCACTGCACACACCTGGTGACTATCTGTCACTGAGGGGGAGAACAGAGCAGGTTAAACAGAATGAAGACAAAGAGCACCAGGTGCAAACAAATATCCATGTGCAGAGTGAAGAATGGTCAGAGATTACATAGTATGAGATAGTAGCCTACCCTCATAACACGAAGTAGTACTGAACATGACATCACATTTGCTTGGATGTATTGATGTTTACTGTTTGTTGGCAGTGGTGGGAAGTAAATAAGGGTATTTACTTAACTACTATTCTCAAGTACAGTTTTGAGATACTTATACTTTACCTGAATATTCCCTTTTTGTGCAACTTTATACTGTACCTTTACCCCACTACGTTTCATTTAAACTTTACACTACACTTCTTTTTATTACACTGCTTATTCTTGTTTTTAGTATTAGAACAAATTTCCATAGTGTCCATCACTAGTTAAATCACATGGTCACATACACTTTTCTTAATATTGCAGTATTTGCATGTCTGTTGCTGTTGTGTCCACATGCACAATGATGGCCTATTTCATTATTATGTTTAGCCTAAGTTGACCTAAAAGAAAAGTCTAGTGTGAGTAGTAATTCACTAAGTTTAAGGTAAAGTTACAATTTCATTGCAATTTTAAATATGAAATGTAGATGATCTCATTATTAGATGAGATTAGATTATTATTAGATTATTATTGTTGAAGATAAGATACATTATTTAAATGTAAAAATTTGAAATGTTAAAGTTTGTGTTTTAATAAATCAATACTACTATCAGAAAAATTATTATATTGGATATAGTTATTTCAAATCATGGTCATCCTCACCCATATAAATTTAGGCAAACCAAAGAGTAACACAGGCACACTGTGGTAATGAGGCGTATTAGATTTCCATGGCTTTGCACAGGGGCACTCCCATGAGGCAGTGCACTGATGTGTTCATCTGTGCTCAGACGCTGCTATAAACCTAACCTGTTTGCTGCCTATGTCACTGGAAAGGATTTGACACACCATCAATGGTTGTCCTGAGGATAAGAAATACACACAAAAGGAAATATGCACTTATCTGTCTGTGCATTGTTGGATTCATCATGTACAGATATCTCAGGTAAGTTAGGTCTTCACTATTGTTCAGATGTCTCAGAGCTATAGGCTGCTTTGAGGCAGTTCGTGCCTGGTATGTTATTACACTGCATTGTCATCTCTCATAGCAAAACTCTGTGGGGACATGACTATACTATTAGATTGTGATAATTTACTATAAAATGCTATGAAAACACTTAAAGACTCTGGAGTGTAACAGAGACACTATACGATACATTTCAACATTAAAGGAATATACTGGCATCACAGGATATTACAGCTACTATAAAGTGCAACAATTTTAATCTATACAACAATATACTCACTGAATTTTTACCTTTGGGAAAATAAGTGTTGATTTTAAATACAACATTATGATTGTTATAAAAAATATAGAATGAACTAAATAGTTATATGAAGTGCTAAAGTCTGTACTGCTTCTACATTCAAGTATGCTCTTGCTCCTTTGTGTTCATGTTTGCCAACACAAGATGTCTGCAAATTTCTACCAAACATGTCATGTGGTCAATTCAAGCACAATAACCTATGTGCTACATAATATGCGTGTGACACAAATAAACCGCATCTACTCTTCCAGCATGCCAGCACGAGGGTGGAGGATGAGCAGGAAGGTGGGTCTGAGCACCAACTCCTCCCAGCTCACCCTGGAGGGAGAGCCCTTCCACATCCTTGGGGGATCCATCCACTATTTTCGTGTGCCCAGGGCCTACTGGAGGGACCGTCTGATGAAAATGAAGGCCTGTGGCATCAACACTCTCACTACGTAGGAGAACTGCTGTGGATGTGTTTTGTGTCACTCCCTGATCACCTTTTTAATGTTAACAAAAATATCCTTGCAGGCACGTACCATGGAGCCTGCACCAGCCAGAGAGAGGCGTTTTCAACTTCCATACACAGCTGGATTTAGAGTAAGGAGTAGTTTGACTCTGACTTGACCTGAATACGAAACACTTGTGATTAATCACCATACCATTTGCTGCTCCTGGGAGTGCACACCATACCCTCAATAACGCAAACATGCACCTTAAAAATGGCAATAAGATAAATGAAAACACCCTTTAAACCATCTCTCGAGCTCCGCTGGTTGCTGTAAGACATGTTGGGAATACTTTCCTTTTCTTGTCATCATCTAAGCCTCAGTACTCAGGGGACAAGCAAGAGGCAAAGTCCCACCTGACAACAGCGACACAACAACAGCAGCTTATCATGCAGTTAACCACACAGTGGTGATAAGTGAAGAGGGATGTGACGCCTCAGCCTGCTGCTGTTGTTACCAAGCACATTTCACACCCCTCAAACAACAAGACACTGCATCTAACTCACAGTGTAAAGTTTGTATTTGTGCAGATAGAAACTGCTTATTGATTGTTTATTATATCCTGGTTTCAGAGCCTATATCAGTCTTGCTGCTGAATTGGGATTGTGGGTGATTTTACGTCCTGGGCCCTACATTTCCTCTGAGATGGATCTAGGAGGACTACCAAGGTAGAGCTAGTATTCTTTATATGTAACTATTTGAGCTTGGACAACCCCCCCTCAGAATTACATTTATAAATGAATTTAATCAGATAGCGCAAAAGTCACCAAGCACCACTTTCTGTTGAGTGGATGAAGTGTGAAAAACATCTTACTGGCAAGGAAGACTTGACCGGCGTGTGAGGCTTTGTCCACTTAGCTGTGAAATTAAGTGCCTTATTACCTGCACCAAGCAGGTTATGTTTTTGGCTCTGTGTGTTTGTGTTTGTTTCTTTGTTTGTTGTTTATCAGGATTATGGGCAAATGGTTGGTTGCATCATCAACATACTTGGTACAGACTTGGGTGGGGACCAACCCTAGAGGTGATTAAATTTTGGCTGGAAAAGGTCAAAGGTCAAAGTCACAAAAAGTAATGAAAGAATCACAATAATCCCCTTCTTTAACATGGGGCAAAATTAAAAAAACTCATATCTTTGTCAGAAGATATCAAAACCATTTATAGGGTGGCAATCACCAGACCAAATTTCATCGGATCATCTGATCTGGATTCTGCATCTGATAGCCTTTCAAACATTGAAAACCCCATTTAGCGCATAATTTCTGCCATAACTTGGCCTATAATGAAGACAGAAGCTTGAAATGTTCAGGTAAGATACACAGTATAAGTGCCTATCATACCCTAAAAGATGATCCAGATCCAATCTAGATCTAACATTTTAGGACACATTTTGTGTCCTGGATTCCATTTTTCAAAAAGGTCCCATTTGCATAAGTGAATGTTGTGTCTTGGTGGAGGTACAGGCTCTTGTTTATGTTATATTAATGGCTAACCTGTGAGCTCTGTTGGCTTGTTTCAGTTTGACTGTTTCTTTAGAAGGATGTTTAATTTTCCAGGTATTATTATTTTCCTAAATAGGCTTTTCAGCATGGGTTCTTCGAAATACAGAAGTGAACATAACCAGGGTTTTTGCTTATTAGTCAAAAGTCTTGACTTAGTAATGGAGATAAAATTGTAATTTTTATTTTACTTTTTGAAGTACAATGAACATTAGTGCATGCCCTTATTTTCTGTCTTGTTTTCTGCAGCTGGCTCCTCCGTGATGGCAGCATGAGACTAAGGACAACTTACCCAGGCTTCACAGAGGCTGTCAACGCTTTTTTTGACAAACTTATACCAAAAGTGGTTCCACTGCAGGTCACTCTTTGTCACCAAAGCTGGGAGCCTCAGTTCTTTAACATGCCATCCTTATAATAAAATATGTGTTTGTGTTTTTTAGTTCAAGAAAGGAGGTCCCATTATTGCAGTGCAGGTTGAAAATGAGTATGGATCCTTTGCAAAGGATGAAAATTACATGATTTTCATTAAAGAGGTAAAGTGATAGGTTTGCTTATTTAAAATGCTCTTTTAGGACATACAAACACACAAGTATAATCAATATTGAAAGAGCTGATCAATCTGATAATGTTCATACTGTACCTTAGGTTGTGACATTCTGTTTTATTTTGAAAGGCTTTACAATCCAGAGGGATCAGTGAGCTCTTGCTTACATCAGACAACCACAACGCGTTAAAGTCAGGGGGTGTAGATGGAGGTACACTATATTATTAATACACACACAAACATCTATAGTAACACACACACACACACACACACACACACACATACATACAGCTGACCTTGTGAACTCCTGTCTTGTAGCCATCAGATCAGTAAAGCTGCAGAAGCTAAATCATAGAAATCTCCAGGATCTGCATGCTCTCCAGGTGTGTTGCTCACCTTTCCATTTCACTGTCTGTCAGTGAGGATATTAAATGCAGGGCTGATGCTGGAGTGAACAATCAGCAGTGTCAGTTAAGAGCTGCGGCATTTTCTGCACCCAAACACTTATTTTCTGTTTGTCAGCCCAATGGCCCCACCATGGTGATGGACTATTGGACCGGCTGGTATGATGTGTGGGGTGACCTCCATCACGTGCTTCCCCCAGAGGGTAAGAGAGTTTTCCCTTCTTTATTTACAGATTTATAGATAATAGATAATAATGTAACTTAGTTTTCTGGTCTGGAGGTCAAAAGGTCATTTATGGTTTATGGTGATGTGTATTTTTATCTGCCATTTTGTAAAGCACTTTGGCCAACTTCTTGTTGATTGCAATTAATTAAACTGACACCGGTGTTTTGGTACTGTCATGCTGTACACCACTCAATTCAATTAATTTAATTCAGTATCAGTACTGCTTATCAGTTTTTCTTCGGTACATAATTAGCCTGGGTTATATTAATTCAGTATACTACAGCATTTAACCCCTTGATTAGTATTTGATGCATCCATGTGAGCCTTAGGTCTTTGCTAGTCAGTGGTCTCAAGTGCAGATTTAATAGGGGCCACCTGGAGAACAGTATATATTATACATGCAGAACCTGAAAAAACTGGTATATGCTTTATCAACATATACACCTTAAAATATTGTATGAGACTTCAAAAACCTATAGAGGTTCAACACTAGGCCAAAAATGTTTCAGTGATGTGAGTTAAAAAGGTGCAAATTTTACTGTTTTATGTGTGTTTTTAAAGAGTCAGTTTGTTTACAGTGAACATGTTGAATTTGTTGTCAGATATGGTGTCCACTGTGAGGGAAATTCTGAGGCGAGGCATGTCTGTCAACCTATACATGTTCCATGGAGGCTCCAGTTTTGGCTTCATGAGCGGAGCACTTGCTTATCCTTCCTACAAAGCATTAGTCTCCAGCTACGGTTGGTTTGTCGGTGTCACATGCTCTGTCACAAACAAATCTGTGGTGCATTTCATCCAAATGTTGACATTTTCTAATAAAAATGAAGCTCTGCCAGGTTTATCAAACAATGTTCCTTCTTGTCCACAGAACAACATTGCCCTTAACACCCAGCAGGTGGCAGTACATGAAACTCAATCTACAATATGGCGAACTATTATGTTTTTCAGATTATGATGCTCCTTTGTCTGAAGCTGGGGTGTACACTCCAAAGTACCACCTCCTTAGGGATTTACTCTCTCGATACAACAGTGAGTTAACCACTTAATATAGATGAGAATAAAGTGATGCTGTGTTGGACCACTCTGCCTGAACTTGTATTTGACCTCTTTTATAGGAGGTGAGAGTTTTCCTGACATGCCAGCTCTGCATAATGCAGAGGCTTATGAACCTGCTATCATGTACCAGCACCTGTCCTTATGGGATGCTTTGAGCTTCACTGAGGGGGTATGTTTTATTTAACATGATGTCTAACCAAATAAATGAAAACAACTGTGCTTTTCAGTCATTTAATTAATTTTCTCTGTAGCCATTTAAGTCACCCAAGCCAGTAAACATGGAAAGTCTACCTGTGAACAATGGAAATGGCCAGTCTTATGGATACACCCTCTATGAGACTACCATCACAAGTGGAGGATTTCTGAGGTCTGGAGACAATGTTCGAGACCGTGCCCTAGTGAGTCCTCACTGTACATGAGGCATGATTTCATTTTCTTTAGCCTTATGCTGTATGGATGTGGTGGCCTACCACGAGCTAATTTCAAACATTATAATCCTCAATATATTTGTAGTGACAGAAACAAAATTTAGGTTTGACTTTTTGGAAAATATGCTTTCTTGTCAAGAGTTACAGGTAGATGTAAAGATCAATACAACTCCTGCATTTGTCTGAGCTTAAAGACCGAAAACAAAGAGAATCAGTCAGCCTGGCTAAAATCTGCATAACAGAACCCTTAAAAGTCCACTAATTAGCCTCCTATATCTTTAATCCATACAAAAAATGATGTTACTGCTGCATATTGTTGGTGTGCCCACAGTTCACAACTCAGGTCATATAGGTCAACATGAAACGTGTGAAAAAGTGTGTTGTGTTCATTGTGATTGTTGGCAGATCTTAAGTTACCTAAAAAATATTTCACTCAAGCAAAACAGAGTTTATGTGCTGTGTTCTATAATACAGTTTATTTCACAGTGATAATTGTCTTCCTAGGTGTTTGTAGACAGAAGCTACATCGGCCTTTTCAAGCACCAGAGCATGGAGCTGGCAGTTCCTGATGGTAAGGTACGGCATCAACTTGAGCAAAGAAAGCAAATGTCCTGTAAACATCATTCACAGTGCTTTATCAAATGTGATGAATGCTGAAGTGTTGACCATTTGGCTGTTAATACTTGAAAAGGCATAAAAGTAGTCAATCCCTACAGGGAAAGCGTACTCTGAGTTTACTGGTGGAAAACTGTGGACGAGTTCACCAGGGAAGGGACCTTGACAAACAACATAAAGGTGACTGAAGGACAATAAGCAGTTCATCCCTGCTATTAAATCACTCAAGCACTCAGTGTGTAGAGCATAAGCCTATTTTGATTTGTGTTTTTACAGGCCTTGTGGGAGACATTTTATTAAACAATATACCTTTGCGGGATTTTATGATATACAGCCTGGATATGAAACCCAGCTTTATTGAGAGGTTTGTGCACTTTATTGAATGTAACTCACTGCATTTCACTTTTATTTTGCTGTAATGTTGTGTCTAAAGTGGATTCCTTATTTCAGTCTTTATCATGCACCATGGAAAACTGTCCTTCAATCTCCCAGCTTCCCTGGGTTTTTCATGGGGAGGCTGTTTGCATATGGGTATCCAAGTGACACATATGTGAAGTTACCAGTAAGTGAAACAATGCACATGATTTTGACATTACTGTGTGCGTGTTTTGTGCATGTGTGCTTGTATGACGAATACTTCATATACAATATGTTCTGTGAAGCAATGAACATTTCTGTGGGTTCACAGAGCTGGGAAAAAGGTGTTGTGTTTATCAATGGTCTGAATCTGGGCCGCTACTGGTCCATTGGCCCCCAGCAGACTCTTTACCTCCCCAGTCCTTTTCTCAACCGTGGAATCAACCAGGTAAAGCTGTGCACAAATCAACATTTGGCCAGTATCTCTGCAACTCAGTCATTAACCTGATATACATGTATGTAGCTCATTTCATTCAATGTTACTGTGTCTGGCCAAGTAATGAGCCCCTCCCCCTGATAGAAACACATCGTGTTGTTGTTACAGTTTGGCTTTTGGACCGATTAAACTAACAACATATAATATATTAATTTGTAAGCATGTGCTGGTAGGCACATGCTTACAAATGCTTATCTTTAGACAGAGCCTGGTCATTTTTAGCATACATATTGATCTTTTGTTACTCACTTTCAGCCTGTAAATGTTTCTTACTTGATTTATAACAGATTTAAAAGATGAATTCTACATTTACAGAGCAAGTTAGTCAAGTCTCTCACTCTCTCTCTCACTGTTTTCTCTTTAAATATATAAGGTCATTGTATTTGAGGAGCAAGAGGGAGACTACAAGGTCTACTTTGAAGATACCCCTGATCTTGGCATGGCAGCAGACATCCAGTGACTGTCATCACCTCCCTATATAGGCATTGTTTTTACAAAGTGCTTATCAGATTAGGTCAGTTCTTCAAATTCAGGGATAACAGTGTTGTTAATATTCTGTTCTTTTTCTAAAATAATACCTTAAAACATACATATATATATACACAGACCACATCAGCTATCAATCAAAGACAAAGGGAGACATGTTTGTATGGGAGCAGTTTATAGATACGTACATAGAGTGCCCTTAGTTAAAGTGACTTTTTACACATGCAGTAGAGCAGATTCATTATCCTCTTACTGTGAAATTCCAGTGACATTGTAATAACGCCTGTTTGGGCATGTGGTTTATTCATATTTGTAGATTTCTATTGCTTGTGTAATTATGGGTTGTATTTTATTTATGTCTTTAAATATTTTATTTGTGTTTTGTAGCAGTTGAACTGAAAACATTTTAGCAAGTAAAACAAAAACCAGGTTTCTGGGTCAACATGAACTGAGGAAGAAGTGAAGTGAACAGCTTTCAAATGACATGCAAGCAGCACTACAGCAACACCAGATCCTTAAAGGGAAAGTTCAAGATTTTAGATGCTTGTCACATCGATAACTGTCCAAACCTGTTAACAGTCCCAGGATCTGAAAGAGCATTTGTATACAGTGTCACTGAAAGTCAGTGGAGCAAGCCAACCATCCTCTGGGGAATTGGCTCTGCAATACAGTTATTTGAAAGGATGCACGTTCCATTTTTAGAGCAAATGCCTTAAATCCCATTGACTCTCAAAAGCATAGCTCACAATTGACAATTAATGAATGGTGCCAGTTACAGTGAAGAAATAAATTATTCTGCTGAGAGACCTTCAGTCCACCCAGTGAGATCTCAATTAGTTTACGGGGAAACCTGTGAGGTGGACAGGCATGTAGGAATACCAGCTCCCTTCTTAAAAATGAGCAGACCACAGTAATGTTACAGCATATCTGGAATAATCAAGAGCTTGGAGTTAAATGACTGTAACCACAAATCATTGAGCTGTGTTTTTGAGTACATGCGCATCTGCATGCTCATCATGTGCAGTGTGAATGTATGTAACATGACTCCTAATTAGTACTGGGTTCAGGAGGCTATTTAAATAGCTCAGTGTTGTACAATACAAGTGGGGAGGGCTCAGATCCTCACAGTGCAGTCTGTCAGTCAGTGCTGATTCACTTAAGACAAGGGCCCCTTTTATTCCTCTGTGCAGCCCTGTGCCCGACAGCCAGCTTGCCTCAGAACAAAAGGGCCCTATTTAATGCTGATTGGGTGGTTGGCTGGTGTTTTCTGCACTGAGAGGGCCCTTTATTGCAATCCATGTCATCTCTTCCTGGATTTTAAACCATGTAGCAGCCTTTGCCTCATTTCTCCAAGGAGACCTCAGTGGGCTCCTTTTGGCAACTCATACCAGTGTCTTGTATAATAAGCCAGTGCTCTGAGCAGAACCTGCAGGCTTGTTTTTGTGTAGTTGTGCTTTGATACCCTGGTTGGTACACATGCATGGCTTTGTGCTGTCTCCTGTTGTGGATGGAAGCTCCTCCATTTCTAAGCTGTGTTGAAGTAAAGCTATGGTGGTGTGATAATATTTTTGGTTTCAGGAGCACTGAGGTTGATTTGAATCCTGGTAGAATCTGAATGCCTACCCCAAAACAACAAATTTACACTTTAAATAACTTCACTTATACAAAGTATCAGGAGTAAGAGTGTCTGTGAGGCCATGTTCAGACTGAGTTCCAAAGGTGTGAAAAAACACAGCTTTCCCCATGCATTTCTAAGGGGGATTGTTTTTACGGCAGTGGACACCAGCACTGCGGGGGCTCTGGCAAAACAACACAACACTGTGTGGCGAAAAAGTTGGATCTAGTTCAGCTTTCAGCACTGGATGGTGACATCATCTGCCAAAAACGCTGTGTTGACAAATCATGTATGGGGACAATCGGGATGTGTATCCTCATGGGAGCAAGATTTTTTCGTTTATCTTGTTTGCATGAACATTCACTGTCAAATTTGGGCCACAGTTAAGGCATGACATGCCATACAGTTTCATTAGTACTAGATGTTAAATACCAGTGCCAACAGTAGAATTGGAGCTATGGTAGAGTAGGCTATGTTAGCAGCATGGCTAACCAAAACACTGGAAACTCACGGGCTGGAAACGTAAATGAAGCTGCTCATGTTGACTCACCACAACGTACCCGTATTGTACACACCTATAGCATTCCCCTGCAACCCCTCACCTCCACATCCGATGTTGCCCCTTACATTAAACACAGCAGGGAGTTGCATTTTTACCAGATTGTTCTGAATGCCTGCCTTGTGCCAACTTCCTAGACTTTTACAACAAAGAAACTCAGCTTTGTTTTGACGCTCCAGTATGTCAAACCTAGCACATACTAATAGGGAGGTACCTGAAAACAAAACAATGGATGGTCAACATCTGCCAGATATTGTTATGCAACGTAATTAAACCCACATTTAATGGCTATATTGCTATATTGTCAGTGCATCTACCATCCATATAAACATGTGGACATGGCAGTAGGCACAGCGGTGCCTTGAGGTAAATACTATCATCAGCATGCTAATTGGCACTAAACGCAAGGTACAGCTGAGGCTGATGGGAATGTCAGTTTGGGAGGAATTATGACTGGACTACTGGACCTGATGATGGTGTTGAGGAAAAGTCATAATGTGATAACCTGAAACATGACAATGACTGTTTCAGGAGGGGACTTGAAGGCTCTACTAAATCTCATGGCAATTCAAAATAGTCAAGTCATTTAATTAAAAAGAATAATGGTCAACCTTATAGTAGTGTTTAAGGAAAAGTCTGGTGACTAACAAAGCCAGTACAATATGTGTTTGTAGAAGACATTGTGCCAGTCCATACAGTGCATGTTCAGCTATTTCACTGTATAAATGAAAATTGTGACCGGTTTGTGGTTTATCCTCTGGGGACCATGAATGAGTGTACAAAATGTCATGACAATCCATCCAGACATATCAATATGGAGTAACAGACAGACATACAGTCAGACCAGCATTGCCATAAATCTAGCATGCTGCTAGCATAGAAATATTTATAGTACTTTACATCATTAGTACAAGATCTTCAGGAAACAATTCATCACACATATATAAAGGATCTATTTCAAACAAGGTCCAAGTCTCAGGGTGAACAGAAAGCTCTTTTCCTCCAAAATAATCACTGAGTGGAGAGGCCATCATTTGCATTTCTCAGTCTCTGCTATTACCTGTGTCAGATGAAGTATGTTATATTTCCACTTTGGAGTCTGTAAATCCTTTCTTGCCCTCATTTACCAGCACAGGCTTCTCTGTCCGTGTGTGCCATACTAATACCTGTGGGGTAAGAGGAATGGAGACAAGCAGAAATAAAGTTAATATACTGTGATATTAATACAGATATTTTGGTTCAAAATGCTGTGCAGTAGTAATGTATTACACATAGTTATACAATGACTAGTGGCAGTATGTAGCCTATTTTATATGCACTGTAAATGTAAAGGGCTGGCTGTTCGATGATGAATTATTATGAAAGCAAAGGATCTCATGTTACATTTATTGATTCATCCTCTTTTATGGCTAAATCACAGGGGTTCTGTTAGAAATTAACCCAATTATTTTGTTGGAAGCACGAGAAGTGAGGACAGGAGAGGACTGTTTAAAATCAACATAAAGTTTACTGAAAGTCTGATCACAGGTAGGCCTTACAGCGCTGGATTCAGAGAGCCAGAGCTCCCGCAGGAGATCCGACTTCTGAACCATGAACTATGTTTTAACAATACATTTAGCTTCTTGGGCTGCTCCACCCTGGACAGAGGTACTATATTCAACACTTTGTAATCATATTGGTCATTTGGCATGAGTAGGTAAACTCCTGCCTACTGAAATGTGATCAAAACCAGGTGTGTGTGTGTTGTGATGTGATTTTCCAGGCGGCAACTGAACAATGGGTCATCTGCGCTGTAGACCCCCTATCTGTGTAATCCTATTACAGGACAAAGCAGGACCTCATGAATACAAACACTATGT